TACCTGTAAGGCACGACTCGTCGCGAAAGGGTTTCGTCAGATTCATGGTATAGACTATGATGAAACTTTTTCACCAGTCGTGATGCTTAGATCCATACGGATTCTGCTAGCCATAGCTGCGTATTATGACTACGAGATATGACAGATGGACGTCAAGACCGCATTCCTTCAATGGAATTTTACAATTTCGGTGTGAATGCGGACTACCTATATCAAGAAAGACATCGAGAACAGACAAAAATCCTGGAAGAATTTTCTTTTCTTGTGACTCGCAAGAGGTATGTAATTTGTACATATTTTTTTTTTCTTCAGAAAATGACATTGGTTTCTTATGTTTGTGTTGTTTTATGTTTCAGAGAAATGGTTCTCATTTTTTCAAATGGCTTGACGATGCGATAATTGAAGAGTTGGATGGTTTCCGTGATGAGTTACATGAAGTGAAGATGGAAAAGATGATGGATGTTAAGATGGAGAAGATGATGGAGAAGATGATGGATGTTAAGATGGAGAAGATGATGGAGAAGATGAATGTTAGGATGGACAAGATGAATCAGAATATGGAAAAGATGAATGTTAAGATGGTTGAATACAGCAATATTGTAGTTATGTTTGGTGTAGTTGTAATCGGTGTAGCTATGTTTTTTGGGTATTACTATGGATTATCCTATGTTTAGAAATGTAGAAATGGTAAACGAATATTGGTGTAGTTAATGAATAATGAATGTTATGTTATTGACCCTAATTATAGTTATCAGACTATGAATGTTATGTTTTTGACCATTACACAAAGAAGATTATATTATGATATTAACATAACATGTTTGTACAGGATGAAAAAAACCCGGCATAACATTACATCCCAAAAAAAGTTGGCATCATGGATACATAGTTCGACAATAGAATAGCCAACATCTTGGATACATTGAGTTCTATCAAAAAAGTCGGCACAACTGTAGGTAGTGCATAATCATTTCCGTTTTTCTTGTCTTGGAATCTGGAATTTTCGACCCGTTCGAGGTGCAATGAAGACCGTGTTTGGTAGTGATGAGGTTGACTCAGGAAGATGTGCTCTCTGATGATGAGGAAATGCCGATTGTATTGTCTGACTCCCTTGTGTTGGAATGGAGGACCCTGCCAAACAGAATTTGAAATGCATTATGTTGTCTAATAACACCAGAAACTAAAATAATAGAATGGTTGTAAGTATACCATCGGGTATTGAGTTACCACTAGTCTGAGCATTTTCCGACATAACAGGTTGTGTAGTTTTTTTCTTCTTGGAAGGAGCTGGCCGACTTGTTTGCCCTCCCAACTAGTAAGAAAATATTCATCATAACCAATCAAGGAAACAAATAACGCATAAGCAAAACCAGAAAATGCAGTTTTTGTACCTTTACTTTTCTCGGACGACCTCTCCCACGTGTTGGACCTTCCATTTGAAATGGTTCATTTTTACATGTCTTGGCATTATGTCCGACCTGTTTACAGCGAGTACACGTCATTTTTCTTCCATGGCGTGAAAGTCGACCACTCTTTGACGGAGACTCATGCGGATCCTTTGTCCGATTAAACTTTCTCGGTCGACCTGGCATTGGTCTGTCATCAGGTACACCAGGAGGAGATTTTCTACCTGATGACAGACCAATGCCAGGTCGACCGAGAAAGTTTAATCGGACAAAGGATCCGCATGAGTCTCCGTCAAAGAGTGGTCGACTTTCACGCCATGGAAGAAAAATGACGTGTACTCGCTGTAAACAGGTCGGACATAATGCCAAGACATGTAAAAATGAACCATTTCAAATGGAAGGTCCAACACGTGGGAGAGGTCGTCCGAGAAAAGTAAAGGTACAAAAACTGCATTTTCTGGTTTTGCTTATGCGTTATTTGTTTCCTTGATTGGTTATGATGAATATTTTCTTACTAGTTGGGAGGGCAAACAAGTCGGCCAGCTCCTTCCAAGAAGAAAAAAACTACACAACCTGTTATGTCGGAAAATGCTCAGACTAGTGGTAACTCAATACCCGATGGTATACTTACAACCATTCTATTATTTTAGTTTCTGGTGTTATTAGACAACATAATGCATTTCAAATTCTGTTTGGCAGGGTCCTCCATTCCAACACAAGGGAGTCAGACAATACAATCGGCATTTCCTCATCATCAGAGAGCACATCTTCCTGAGTCAACCTCATCACTACCAAACACGGTCTTCATTGCACCTCGAACGGGTCGAAAATTCCAGATTCCAAGACAAGAAAAACGGAAATGATTATGCACTACCTACAGTTGTGCCGACTTTTTTTTATAGAACTCAATGTATCCAAGATGTTGGCTATTCTATTGTCGAACTATGTATCCATGATGCCAACTTTTTTTGGGATGTAATGTTATGCCGGGTTTTTTTTCATCCTGTACAAACATGTTATGTTAATATCATAATATAATCTTCTTTGTGTAATGGTCAAAAACATAACATTCATAGTCTGATAACTATAATTAGGGTCAATAACATAACATTCATTATTCATTAACTACACCAATATTCGTTTACCATTTCTACATTTCTAAACATAGGATAATCCATAGTAATACCCAAAAAACATAGCTACACCGATTACAACTACACCAAATATAACTACAATATTGTTTGCCGGACCGGGATCCGGAAAGTTTCCATAATTCGATTTTAGGGTTTTATTAGCTTATTTAAGTTTGGGATTTCGTCCAAACTTAATTAAGGCCGACCTAAAACTCAGAGAAACATCCTAGAACCCTAGAGAACCAGTTCTTTCCGGGATTGGATCTCGTCTCTTGAGTTACCCTTTTCTTCACTAATCCTAGCAGATTCGTTCCAAATCGTTTGGCATCCTTCCCGTCGGTGTGGATACGTGTAGAGGGACTGTAACTTCAGTCCTAGGTGATTTAGAACAGGCCCCGGATCGAAATAAACTTCAAGTCTCATCGAGAACGAGGTAAGTAACAATTCCCTCGGTGATATACACGATCTTTCGGGTTTTGCGAGTTTGGTTGCGTGTGACGTTTGACTAGGTTTAGATCTTTCTTCCGCTGCATGAAACCTAGTAAACCAAACCCTAGATCGATATGATCGCATGCTAGGAACCCGTAGATAACCCCAAAATCTCTTCACATAAGAGAGGAACAAAATCCCATCTTGGCTCTATACTACCATCTACATGATTTATGACATTCCCAACTACATCCATTATAGTCGTCCTTTTACAGTTTTGATGTTTGACAATGTCAAATAAAATCACTCCTCATGTCGGATACATATAGAGACCTCAGGTGTTATGTCAAGTCATGAGATTAAAGTCATGACGTCAAGTCCATGTGACAATCTCTTGCGAGTCATCCAATATTCATTCACAAATAAACACCTATGATCATGATCCGTATCTAATACACTATGATCATCTTTATGATCATCCATCATGCATCATGCATCGTGCGAATAATCATGTCTAGAGCATAAACCATCATAATCTCCAAATGCTCTAATCATAATCAACTAAATGTCTACTCTCCATCGACCTAACATGACACTCATGTTTCGACGAAGGGAGAGGCTTCATCTGTTGGGTTTCCTGAGATCTCTAGAGCGAATCCTATTCCCAAGAGATCGATTCTAGGGTTTGCGCAGCGGATGTAAAAACAAAAATTTATGTAACCCTAGAACCATGCTTCTTATGAATCGTAGAAAAGTAAGAACGCTTACCTCACTCGATCCAGGGCCTGTATCAATTGAAGAACTCGTTCGATCACGAAAGGGAGGAAGAATATCTCGCCCTCTACACGTATCCACACCTCGGGATGGATTCCAACGATTGGAACTTGTCTGTTAGGACCCGAATCAGCTATTCGGTATGATGCTTCGAGAGAAATGAGACTTGGAACTCTTAGAACTCTTTTGATCTGACCAAAAGCTCTCCAAGTTCTGTATTTTCGACGGCTGCTCAACTTCATTAATTAGGATTTCAATCTCCTTCTTATAAGGTGATTTAACCCTAATTCGGTCTAATTTTCGAAAACCCGAAAGCTGGAAGGACGGTCCAGAAATACACGTGGACCGTCTGTTCCAGCAAGACAGAACGGACGGTCTGCACACGTGGACCGTCCATTCCAGAAAAGCCAGAATGAACGTTCTGTTGTCTACGTGGACCGTTCGTTCCAACACTTAGAACGGACGGTCTGCATCTAAACGTGGACCGTCGGGTCTAGACCTGGCGGACCATCGGGTCTGGCCTTTTCGGTCCATCCGTTCCAGCCCCTTCCGTCTCAGTTTTTCGGTCGTTTTCTCGTGCGTTTCGTCCTTCCCTGCGTGTGTGACCCTGTAGGATCATTCGATATAGCAGTATAACCCGAAATCTCTATTCCGGATATACAAGTCATAGGCGGTCTCTAGAAGACACTATGACTACCTATCTTGAATAGAGTTTGTTCGTGATCTTACGAACGCCAGCGATGATTCCGGTTGATGACCCTTTTGTATCGCGATATCATATGTCGAACATAAGGCATGGACAAGCCACCTT